TGGCCCTTCAGCTGTTGTTGGACTGCAGCTCCCAGCAGATCTAGCCAGCATAGTCAATGGTAAAAAAATGGCGGGAGCTACAGTCTAGCAATACCTGGGTGGCTGCATTATTTTCACTCATCTTAAAAAGATGAAAAGCTTGTATCTTTAGAGCAGGCCACTCAATAGACCCCATTCCTAATCCCCAGGCTGCTGTATCTTCCAAGTGTGAGAGGATCTAATAGATCTCTATAAAGAGAGAAAGCAAGAAAGAGGGGCAATAAGAGAGCGCTCATTTCTTGAGTGCACCGCCTCATGTAGGCAGAATGGCATTGTGCACGCAAAAGAGAAACAGGCCAACACACTTGGAGAACATCAAGGTGCACAGAAGTATTTCAAAAAGGGTGAAAAATACTCCTAAGTAGCTCAAAAAAGTAGTGTGTGATTAATGAACATAGGATGCGAATCAAAGTATGATCAGTCTGTTCACTTCCAAGCTTTCTGGTAACTTAATTGGGAGTCTGGAGTACCATTTGTACACCGAAGGCACACAGCTTTGCTTCTCCTTTGTCAGTGATGCCAGCTGGGGCTGTTGAATTTCGGTCAAAAAGATGAAGGCACTGTGGATTCCTGGGCCTGGGAATTGGATGGGTTTGTTGTTGTTGTTCATTCGTTCAGTCGTCTCCGACTCTTCGTGACCTCATGGATGGGTTTACACTCCCTCTAAGCACTTCATCTTTGTCCTTGGAGTCCCAGGCAGACTCCATGGCTTCAAGGGTTTGGGGAACCAGCCTTTCCTGGATAGGGGTAATCTACCTACAGTACTTCACATACTCATGAAATCCTAATTGGATTAATGCAGGGCACTCTATGAGGTCCAGCTCGAGGGTGAATTGGAACTCCTATCCAGTGCAATACACAGCAGTTAGACAGGAATATCTAGAAATTGCATGGCACATGTTTTAATGGAATCTGCTGCAACAGGTCTCCTTTGTGTTCCAACAGTGGAAGCAATCCATTGTGTGAGGATGAGGGAAAGGGTCTTCTTTGCTATGCAATACTCTCATTCCAGTTTCTAGTGAAAACACTGTTTGAAAGCGAAACCTTATAATTGAATGATTTTACTCAAATCTACATACTTTGAAATCTGTTTTAACTGCTTCATTTAATTTAATATGATTAAGACTTTTGATTTTTTTTCATTTCATTACACATTATCTACATGCCACCCTGAGATCTTATGATGAAGGACAAGAGTGTTTGAACAAATAAATACAGTAAGCAAACAGAAAGGTTCCTTTGGGCCCTTGGCCAACACTCTCAACTGGAGATGAGCATTTTCATGCTCATAAACCAAAATGTACAACGAAGTTGCAAACCCACCCTTCACCAGATACATATAAATGTGCTCCCCTATGGCCTGGCAACTGAGACATCTGATAAACTATAAACCAGTGGTTCCCAGCCTGTGGTCCGTGGAACACCAGTGGTCCATGGCCTCACCATTACTACACCATTGCCTTGAAATCACTTGGCAATGAAAGCAACTTGTCTTGCAAAACCCACTTATAGTGCCAAGGCGACGGGGATGTTGGGAGATTACTACTACCACATGAGCTCTAGATTATTAAATACGGTTTTCTGTGGGTGAGAAGATGGAGACTACTGGATGGCATATGTTCTGTATCAGAAACTAGAGCTGATGTGGTCAATCCAATGCAATTTTTTGAATCAGCACCCCAAATATCCAAACCAAATCTAAAGTTGACCAAAAAACAGATCCATAACCTTTTTGGTACTAATGTTGGAGAGTGGTCCCTGATCAAAGTGGTCCCTGGTCAAAAAAAGGTTGGGAACCACTGCTATAAACTTTAAAACTTAGATTACTGACCATTATCTAGAGGCCAGCATTGACAACATTGAAAATAACAGGTATGCAACTGATCAGATATGCATTACCAACTATATAAACCTGATGCAATATCTAAACACCGTAGGAGAATGTATTTGACTGTGTTATAATGATAAGAGAAGGAAGATGTAATACAATATTAATGAAATCAGAAGCAAACAAAAAAGCAGTCTCTTTCAAGTCCAAGGTAATCTCAAATTGAAATCAGTGTATGGTAATACTTACTTTGCATGGCTTCTCTTTTCCACAGCAGCAGATTCATTTCTCCTTCTCTCTCAAAAAAGGACTTATAAAGATGCTTTTAAAGAAGCTAATTACTGAAACAGTTAATCAAAAGAGCCCCAGGAGCCATACCGTGGAAAAGTAGAAAATTGGGACAGCTTACTTACAGAAGGCATTTTGCTCTCTGTTCAAAATCAGTGTTACTACGAGCGGGATTATAAGGCTTGTCCTGGGATTCTGGTTTCGTCCTGTGGCTCACTCTCATAGGAGGCAGAGAAGATATTTCCTTTGAGCAAATATATCCTTGTAAGATTCAGCCTCAGGGGAACTGGGTCAGTCTTGTCAAATTCTGAGCCTCTAGATGTTCTTCCATCCTTCTTCCAAGAAATGGAGGCCAGAGTATATATTTCCGCTCTGCTTTTATCCTTACAACAACTTTGTTGTTAGGCTCGGTGAGGCTGACAGCAACTGAATCAAAGTCAACCGGTAAGGTTTGTAGTTGGAACATGAATCTGAATGAAGCTCATCATGTCTTGTGAAAATCTAATGTCACTCTCCCTCATCACTGAAAATTATACTTGGCAAACTGATATTCAACACAAACAGCATAGCCAAAGCTGGCTGCTCATCCATTCGTTGTAGTGAGACACTTTTAAGCTGCCATGGCCTTCCTCTGTGGAAGCTGAGAGAATGGGACTTGCCCAAGTTCACCCAGTGCATTTCTATGGCCAAACAGGGAGTGAAAGTCTGGTCTCCAAGAGTCCTAGTCCAACACTCAGGCCACTAGCTCTAGCTACCTACAAATCTACAATGGAGTAATTTCCCGCACTGTGCTAGATCCAAACTTAGATTGCAACCCACTTTCTACTGGATCTAGAGCAGGCATGGGCAAACTTAGGCCTCCCTCCCAGGTGTTTTGGACATCAACTCCCACAATTCCTAACAGCCTCAGGCCCCTTCCTTTCCCCCTCAACTGCTTAAGCAGAAAAGGAAAGGAATGGGCCTGAGGCTGTTAGGAATTGTGGGAGTTGAAGTCCAAAACACCTGGAGGTCTGAAGTTTGCCCATGCCTGATCTACAGTAGCTTACTTTTAAGTAAGTGTGAAAAGGTTACATGATAAGATAGTTAGATTTGACTCTCAATGAAATCAATGAGGAAAAATGCTTGGTTTAACCCTAATCAAGATCTGAACGAATAATTTTTTTCCAGGTGAAATATATTGTAAGAAATTTTATTAATTTCAAGGTGATGGTTTGCAGCAGGAAATCCGAACCACAGACAAGTGACAGAAAATACTGGGTGAAGGCAAAAATGCCTGTTTTCAGCCAAGAGCTGGTCCCAAATCATTTCTCTTCTTGTTGTCATTTGCCTTCAAGTCATTGCATTACTTATGAGCATCTTAAGGCAAACCTATTACAGGGTTTCCTTGACAAGATTTGTTCAGAATTGTAATACAACTGTTCTTTGTTATCATTGTTTATCTGCTTCAGCCCACACAACCTCCAAAGAGCTCAGCATGAATAGGTCCACCCCATGTTATCTCTGCATGTGATGCCGTTTTCATTTTATCTTCACAACAGTCCTGTGAGGTAGCTTCATCATCTCACAAAGCTGCCTTCCATTTCAGTGGGGTCTGCCCAAGCAACCATCTCAGGATTGTACATGATGCATATTACAAGGCAATGCTACGTTCAGCAAAGGACAAGAGGGATCCTTTCACCTCTGCAGGAGTCTGCCGTATACCATGCAGCTGTGGACAAGAATTCTACATAGACACCACCAAACGCAGCATTACCCAAACACGAATCAAGGAACATGAAAGGCACTGCAGACTACATTCAGAGAAGTTAGCCATAGCAGAGCACCTCATGAACCAACCTGGACACAGCATATTATCTTAGAACACAGAAATGATGGACTACTCTAACAACTATCATGTCATTCTACACAGAGAAGCCACTGAAATCCACAAGCATGTGGGCAATTTCAACAGAAAGAAAGAAACAATGAAAATGAACAAAATCTAGCTACCAGGATTAAAAAACTCTAAAATCATAACAGTAGATAAAGAACAACACTCAATAACAGGGCAACTCCAGACAAGAAACAATCAGGGACAGCTAATCACTTCTCAACAAAGGATTGCCCCAGGCAGTAAGAAACTACACCATGAAACTGCTAGGCTATGAAATGCTAATCAAGGTGAGCAATTGCTACATTCACACCTACCTCCAACAGACAAGAGTTCTTTCTCCCACCCTAGACATTTCATAGATATATAAAACCCCATTTTCCTAGTTTCCAACCTCTGAGGATGCCTGCCATAGATGAAGGAGAAATGTCAGGAGGGAATGCTTCTGGAACATAGCCATACAGCCCGAAATACTTACAGCAATCCAAGGGAGGGATTCATTTTATTTTCATGGTGTAACATATACGTCATATCTCTCTCTCTCTCTCTCTCTCTCTCTCTCTCTCTCTCCACCTGTACCCAACACAGATACAGACAGAAGACAGGTCACATTTGGATTGGTATTCCTGTCTTTGAGCATTTCCAAATAGAAGGCACCTCAGACTAGTAAACAGCATGTACTGTGTAGTCATTGCATTTTCTCAACAGATTTTCTACAATAAGAAAAAATATATGGAAGGAGTGGGGGAGGGAGCTGGGGGAACAACACCATCTGAAGTCCCAGTAAAATTCAGTGAATGCAGTGGGATGACAACGTGATTAAAACCTGCTCTGAAACTGCTCTCTCTCTTCCCCCCTCCATCTGTATATATGTGGCACACTCACACATATAATGAGAGAGTAAATACTTGGTTATGTCATAAAAACAATACACAAAATAGAATGTCATTTGACTGCTTCTTCTTTCAGACTGACCCCAATGTGATGTCAGGTGTCATCCTGCCCCCTGCAGGGAGCCATATATTAAACGATACTTTGCATGAGCCAAAACTCTTGCCGAACAGTTGCCATGTCCACACTTCTTCTATGTGAGCCCAGCAGGCATCCTTTTCTCTTTCTTGTGTCTCTCTGGCAACATTAGTCCTTTTAAAAAAACAAAGACAAAACTGTATTATTCGACTGGAAACTTTGCTTCCTCCGCAGAATCATACCAAAAGCACTGTCACCTGAGGCAAACCAGCCTAGGGGGATCTGGGTGGAAAGACACCAACGCAGGCCCGTAGCCAGGATTTCGATTCGTAGGGGCGGGGGCTGAGTTTGTTTCGGGGGGGGGGGGCTGAGTCCGAGTGAAAGAGGGTCTACCCTAGCAAACCTTTTTAATCGTTACCCCAATACCCCCATGCATATGGGATATATTGAGTATGGTGATCAGATCATGATATGAATAAACATAACAGTTTAAATAATGCACCAGTAAGGCCTTTTCGCGAACCACCATGAGAATTTCGGGGGGGGGGGGGCTGAAGCCCCTCAAGGCCCCCCCCCCCCCCCGGCTACATGCCTACACCAACATGAACAGAAAACAGAGAATGTCTACTTTGGTCAGAGTTCACCATGCATTAAAACACAGCTAGTGAACCTCTATTCTCCAGATGTCGCCAGATACAAAACTATGCAAAGATGAAGACGCAGGTTCGCAGCTTGGGAGTGATCCTGGACTCATCACTGAGCCTGGAACCCCAGGTCTCAGCGGTGGCCGGGAGAGCTTTTGCACAATTAAAACTTGTGCGCCAGCTGCGCCCGTACCTTGGGAAGTCAGATCTGGCCACGGTGGTCCACGCTCTTGTCACATCCCGGTTGGATTACTGCAACGCACTCTACGTGGGGTTGCCTTTGAAGACTGCTCGGAAACTTCAACTAGTCCAGCGAGAAGCAGCCAGATTGCTCACTGGAGCGGCGTACAGGGAGCATACCACCCCCCTGTTGCGTCAGCTCCACTGGCTGCCGATCCAATTCCGAGCACAATTCAAAGTGCTGGTTTTGACCTACAAAACCCTATACGGTTCCGGCCCAGTGTATTTGTCCGAACGGATCTCCCTCTACATCCCACCTCGAAGCTTAAGATCTTCTGGGGAGGCCCTGCTCTCGACCCCGCCATTGTCACAAGTGAGGCTGGCGGGGACGAGGAGCAGGGCCTTCTCAGTGGTGGCCCCCCACCTGTGGAACTCACTCCCCGGGGAGATCAGATCGGCGACTTCCCTCCTAGCGTTTAGGAAAAAACTGAAGACCTGGTTGTGGGACCAAGCCTTTGGTCATTCTGACAACTAACTTAAGGACCTGACAATAGACGAGAACAAATGGAATGGAATGGATATACGGACTCTGTTATATGGACTCTGACATGTGATCGTTTTATTATTTTATTATGTATTGATATTTTAATTTGACAGTTGAATTGTTGTATTTGTATTGTTTATTGTGTGATTTAGGCATCTAATTGTGCCTTCCCTGTAAGCCGCCCTGAGTCCCCCTCGGGGTGAGAAGGGCGGGGTATAAGTAAGCGAAATAAATAAATAAATAAATAAATAAATAAATAAGATACAGAATGGGGGATGCCTGGCTTGACAGCAGTACATGTGAAAAAGATCTTGGAGTCCTCATGGACAGGAAGGTGAACAAGAGACAACAATGTGATGCGGCAACTCAAAAAGCCAATGGGATTTTGGCCTGCATAAATAGGAAACTAGTATCTAGATCAGGTCTGGACAAACTTTGGCCCTCCAGGTGATTGGGACTCCAACTCCCACAATTCCTGACAGATGGTAGGCTGTTACAAATTGTGGGAGTTAAAGTCCCAAACACCTGGAGGGCCAAAGTTTGCCCAGGTCTGGTCTAGATCCAGGGAAGTTATGCTACCCCTCTATTCTGCTTTGGTCAGACCACACCTGGAATCACACTGTGTCCACTTCTGGGCACCGCAATGAAAGGGAGATGTTGACAAGTTGGAATGTGTCCAGAGGAGGGCGACTCAAATGATCAAGGGTCTGGAGAACAAGCCTTACGAGGAATGGCTGAAAAAGCTGGGCATGTTTAGCCTGCAGAAGAGAAGACGGAGAGGAGACATGAGGGCCATGTATCAAGATGTGAGGGAGGGGAAGTCATAGGGAGGAGAGAGCAAGCTTGTTTTCTGCTGCTCTGGAGACTAGGACGCAATGGAGCAATGGCTTCAAACTACAGGAAAGGAGATTCCACCTGAACATGAGGAAGAACTTCCTGTGAGAGCTGTTCAGCAGTGGAACTCTCTGCCCCAGAGTGTAGTGTAGGCTCCTTCTTTGGAGGCTTTTAAACAGAGGCTGGATGGCCATCTGTTGGGGGTGCTTTGAATGCGATTGTCCTGCTTCTTGGCAGGGGGTTGGACTGGATGGCCCACTAGGTTTCTTTCAACTTTATGATTCTATGATTCTATATGCCCAAGTCAGCAGAGTCAAGGATCAGGGATGTTCTCTACACACGGAGAGCCACAAATTGTCCACCTCTGCCTGACAGCTTACGGTTTGTAAGTGTGCAGAACTTGGAAAAGTTACCCTTTCAGAAAATTATTTCTGGTATTTGCCAGACATCATATCCATGCAGGATATGTTGTACACTAAGTAACATTTCCAAGCTCTGATTACCTGGCCCAGAAAACAGTCTCTTGGGACCATTGTTCTATATGTTTTCAATTGAAAGTGATGGTTAGTGTTTAAACTAGTAGAATACAGACTTCGTTGTATGCAGGCAAAAGCAAATGTCCTCACAGTGACACATGCCATCTTCCAGGGTGGGGTGAGGTAGGGGGTGGGGAATAAAAACTTCCTTGTAAGAGAAGAGAATGGGAGAGGTTCTCTTCCTGTGCTCATCATTCTGAGTTAGAACCGTTAAGACTCTGCCCGGAGCGCAGAGGATTTCCATGGCCTCTCCTGGGCTTTCCCAAAGCCTCAATATCCCCCGGAAGCCTTCTGCTCAGGCCAGGATCAAGGCAGGCGTACAGCAGTGGCTTCCAGGGCAGCAGGCAGAAATGGCTTTGGAGATACTTAGCTGCTCGTACATTACTCGGAGCATCTTTGTGGGATTACAACACTGGGAGGAGGGGGGAGAAGGGAGATAAAAAAAAGCTCAACATATTTATCCTAAATGCTCCCAAGCCCATGTAAACCATATGCATACACATTCCAGACGAGAGTAGGTGGACTGGCACACAGACGGATCTGAATTGGGAAGAATGCCAGGGCTCTTTCTTTCCCAGCTCCAACTGAGGAAGCAGCGTTGTGTCTATTCGAAGCCTTGCCTAGAGATGGCAGTGATCCTTCATGTTGCACCCATACCCAGTTAACAGACAGAGCTTCCCTTTAAAAGCATGGAGTCAAGCAGTTCTGGTAAACACACAAGAAGTAGGCACCTATGCTTAGATGAAACAAATCCACTTCTGTCACTCCTAAACTTAAGCTTCTGTCTCCTGAAGGGGATAGAAATACAATTATGACCCCCTTCATCCTCCAGAAAGCCTACTTCAAAACTTCTCCTGTATATCAGTTGGACTCTGACTCTGGAAAATAGGGTGCGAATCCTCACTCAGCCACAGAAATCCACTGGATGACCTTGGGCATGTCACACTCTCTCATCCTTAGAAGAATGAGAAGGCACACCTATCCCACAAACAAATCTTGTTAAGAAAACCCTATGACAGGTTTGCCTTAGGATTGCTGTAAGCTGGAAACAACAGAAAGCACAAAACAATGACACATCTGCTCCAACTTTTGACATTTGGCAGCAGAGACAACGTTCCAAATCCAGATTTCCCTTGTGGGTGTGAAACATGTAAAGGGGTGGGTACACCCTCACAACACACTGCAAACCTGGAGGAGGGAGGTTGCTCCTTCTTGCATCTCCCTTCCTGGTCACTTGTCCTCCAGCTCAGAGAAGATTAGTACCACAGTGGCGTGACCCCAGATTTAGTCATTGGCATCTCCAGGTGGACTTGGAAACAAACAAAGCCAAACCAGACACCTGTTTGAAACTCTATAGAGTGTCCCTGCCAGTTACAAGAATGTGACTGAGCAAATGTCGGATTCAGTGAAAGATAGATTCCAGGGTTCCTCCATTCAGGGAGTGGGCCTTAACTCTGTGGCAGAGCCCCTGGTTTGCACGCAAAACATTCAAAGATCAATCCTCAGTGTTTACATGCCAGTGTAGCCAAACACCTGCTTGAAACTCTGTAGACCCATGGGTCAGTAGTGCAGATCAGGACTTGGCACTCACAAGTCACCAGGGGTTACTTCCTGGCACTGCTTTTGCTAAACTGCTCTGTTGAGGCTTAGCAATAAGGCAGCCTGTGTGGAACAATGGCTACAAGACCTAAAGAAAAACCATATTCAAATTCCCATTTAGCCATGGAGTCAACTGAATGGCCATAGCCTCTGGTACTCTTCTACACTATCTGTCTCGGCAAGCCAATGTCACAGAATTGGCTATGCTGGAGGACCCTGGACACAGCATATTATTTGAGAACACAGAAATGCTGGACCACTTTAACAACAACCATGTCAGACTACACAGAGAAGCCACTGAAATCCACAAGCATGTGGACAATTTCAACAGAAAGGAGAAACCATGGAAATGAAAAAATCTGGCTACCAGTATTAAAAAAACCTCTAAAATCATAACAGTAAATAAAGAACAACATTCAAAAACAGGGAAACTCCAGACAAGAAACAATCAGGGGCAGTTAATCACCTCTCAACAAAGGATTCCCCCAGGCAGTAAGAAGCCACATCTTGAAACTGCTAGGCCATTAAATGCTAATCAAGGTGGCCAATTGAAACATTCACACATACCTCTAACAGACAAGAGTTCTTTCTCCCACCCTAGACATTTCACAGATATCTAAAACCCCATTTTCCTAGTTTCCAACAGACCTCACAACCTCTGAGGATGCCTGCCATGGATGCAGGCAAAATGTCAGGAGAGATTGCTTCTGGAACATGGTCATACAGGCCGAAAAACTTACAGCAACCCAGTGATTCTGGCCATGAAAGTTTTCAACAATACATTGTCACAGAATTGTTCAGAGGACAAAGAAATTGTAAATTAATCTTGAGTTCTTC